TACAACAAACAAAAAAAAAGAAGTAAAATCCATACAGGCAAGATGAAAGAATAACAAAACCCAGCTAACGGTTTTACATCCGCTGCAGCTTCTCTCTCTATGAGTAGTAAATATGATTTGTTACCACGTGTTATTATTTAGCGTTATTCATCTTCTCTGTCAGTGCACACAGAGGGGTAATAGAAATGCCAGCAAGGTGGCTGATTTACTTAGTAAAATTTTCATCTCAAGGCTTGCGAGGCATGATTGGAGTCTGTAAGAGTAACGGGAAATCATGCATTATGTAGGCGAATCTGACACGACCTTGAGACTTCTCAGCACAGGCCATATATTACCATCAGAGCGACCTTCCCATCCTGAAGATACATCTGATGTGTTTAAGGCTGTTTTACAATGCATTAGGAGGGCTTTACATGTGCTGAGCTCACTTTATTTGCTCATACATTTCACAGGAAGAGTTTAGTGTCAGGCTGATGGGGACCATTCACAGTGACTGAGTCACTTGTCGAGACAAATGAGCCCGTGAAAACAGGCCGAGGCGCCGGGTAATAAGCATTTCAAAGCAAATTCCCACTTTTCCCTTTTTATTTCCCTTCAATATGCAGCACATTTGCTATTCAGTGAACCCTTGTTGATTCCAGCTCATCGTGTATTCTCACCTGCTGCGATTGATTGACCTGCATCTTCAAGACAGAGAATGGATATAATTTTTCCCACCGAGTGATGGGGCGTCAGGATCAATATTCTCACTGTTGGTTAAGCTTTTGCAACCTTTAGAATATCAGCTCCGATCGATCTCTCTCACATAATTGTCTGTATTTTCAAATCATTTTTTTTTCCTTCTCCTTTCGTACATGCCAATGACATTTGGAATGCCTCAAGGTCTTGTTGTATGACCCGTTAAAAGACCCGAGGTAAAGGGCACAAAACACAGATTCATTAGCATGTTACATTTATTGTCCATGTCTCCCTCTTTCTACTTTTCACCCCTGTGCTATAAACATGTGGAGAGAGTTGTATTTCCATATAAAAAGGCCCATAATTATAGGGGGGGATGAAGACGGTTGTTCCCCTTATCAGAGGAAATGATAAGGGAGTACCAGGCCCTGTGAAAGAACAGAGTCCATTTTGATATAATTGGCAGTGGAATTATTTATGACATTAATTGCCACATTATCGACTGGCTGTCAGCTCCTGTGTCAGTCTGTCCATCTTTCTTAGCAGAAAGAGCCAGCTCAGCCTGGTGCCCACTGACAAGCTAATTACTACAGCACAACCCTGAATGACAAATGTTACTCATCTAAGACCAGGCCCGGAAATAAGGGCCTTCCTTCCCCCCTCTTCGGCTTCTCTGGATCAAGCAAGACAGCAGTGTGCTGCCAAATGTCTTCAGGTGCAGGAGGGAAAGAGTTTGTATGTCAGAGAGATAGAGAGAAAGGGGTGGAGTGGAAGGAAGGATGGAGGGAGGGAGGGAGGGAGGGAGGGAGGGAGGGAGGAGAGAGCTTTCTACAGCCAGGGGGACAGTTAAATCTAAATCTCACCCCATCCTGTTTGCTGCTCTGCTATCAGTGGCCAGTTGTCACTCATAAAGACAAGTCCCTTTTTTCTCCCTCTGCCTCCTTGTAAATTTGCATTAGCTCATGCCAATCAGTCATCAGGCTATGGGCTGATATGTAGTGACGGGGTGATTGGTCCTTAGTTCCTTTGACAGTGAGTCACACACTGGTGTGCCTTTTGGGGAGGTGAATTGTGCTGTGCCACTGATGTAATATAAAGCTCAGATTTTATGCATTGAACGTACCCAAAATCTGAAAACAGTATGTCTCAATTTCAGTTAAAAATACTGTATGAACTTTGTAAAAATTACTTTGTATGAAGGGTGCAGGTATTGGGGAGTGGGACACATAAAAACAGGGGTTCTGGGGGTCCATCAAACACCTAATTGCCTTCATTCTGGTGAATTATTATTTACCAATTTGTGCCTTTTCTGCATCAATATAATCCAATTTTTCTTACTTTTTTGTCAAAATAAAAGTCCTTTGCCACTTTCATGTTTTATCGGTGGGAACAAATACACATATTGAGGGGTGTGTGCCCCCTGCGTCTACCTCGAAATCTACACTTACGCTCAGTATACTTTCGCTTTATCATTGTGCAATGACAAAAAATATTAAACAAATATTTCCAAAGATAAGTCTCACAATCGTCTGCATTGTTTTGTAGTTTTTAATTTCCTTTATGCATTGCATTGTTGGACAATTGCGTCCATACCCGGCACACTCAAAAGTCAAGCAGATTTTGTTAGTAAAATATTGTTACTTTTGTCACTTTTCCACTGTGACTGCACTGCATACTCAAAACATTCTGCTCTTTCTGAGGTTTCTCCCTTATCTATTAAAGGGTCTTTTTTTTGGTAATTTTCCTTATCCGCACTGAAAGTCCAAGGACAGAGGGTGTTTTATGTTGTAAAGCCCTCTGAGGCACATTTTGATATGTGATATTGAAATTTAATTGATCTGAACAGTAGTATGACATAGAATAACAATTTAGACTTAGATGTTCAGTGTGTGGTTTCATTGGGCTTGGAATGTCACAGTCGTATTTCTTTTCTAAGATATTACAAACAAATGAAAGGCAACAGCAAAAACTCACTGCAGACATTTTTGTGCACAGACATCCTGCTGTGGATCCAACTCACTCAAGCATGGACACACATAGAAAATATGAAGGTTTGAGCACACGCACACACACAAACACACACACACACACTGGCTAGTAGAAGAGCCTGCAGGGCTACTATAGCAGAATGTCACTGATCTGCTCTGATGAAGTGGCGTGCCATTTGTTCAGCCAGGAAGTTCCCAAGGAGCAGCAGCAGTGACGGAGCTGAGGGTCAAGGAGGGCATCGCCTACAGGTAGATGGCTGTGGCTCACACCTTAATTAATCTACTGTCCGTGATGCCAGGCATCCCATTCATCCCCTACCCATGCACAAAGGCGCACGTCAAGCATATGTCAACCCGCTCTGGCACTCCCCGCCCATCCCATAATGCAGTTTGTGTTGGTGTGGCAGCTCAGGATGCGTCCCTGACAAGGATAGGAAGTGACACACACCAAACTCGGTGTGTCCCCCAGCCAGCTCCGGTGGCTCGGGGCCTGTCAATTCCAGCTCTGTCAGTGGCACTGGCTCAATGGCAGTGCCTGTGACACATGTCACAAAGTTTTAAATGTCTGCTCTTTTCAGCAGGATGGCTAGGCGCGCGCTGCAGCCAGGGGAAGGATGACATTTTGTGTCGTGCGGGGGGGAACTTGCTGTGGCTCCCCTCTTCCTACCTCCTCCGGCTGTCAGCCCCAGTTTCCTCTGAGCATATCAAAACACAGACAAATAAACCTTGTCATTTTGAAACGCCGGCACTAGTGACCAGGCTCCTGAACGGCATGTCAGCTGGAATATGGTCACACAGTCCTGTAGGAAGTGGTGTATAAGCTTATGCGAGTGAGCACGCATACTCTCACACGCACACAATCTTTAAGCTAATAGAAATAAGAAATAAACATAGTGAACAAACATTGCACGAGGCTATCTCTGACCTTTCCCTTCATCTGTTTGTGGATGATTGATGCTGGACTGAAGCTCAACATGGTTTCTTTCAAATCCTGAAACAGCGAGCCTCTCCTCTCAGTCTCATCACCATGTTGTATTCATCTACTTCACCTCTAAAGAAGGAGGTAATATGATCAAACCTCATGACTTGACCTGAGATGTCTCAGTCAGGAACATCGTCTTAACCACTTTTGGGGTTGTAATGATGACTAACACAGGGATAATAAATGCTGACTGGCTCTTTTGGCTCTATAGACTTTATAAAAGGAAAAATATTCATGTGATGATCATTAGGAAAACAGTTTATTGTGGTAGCAGACAGATATAACCTGAGTAAATACAGCTCTGCATCAATCTGACCAGAGACACGCTGGCTGACCCTTTGAATTTCTTGAAGACATCCAGCTTATACAGTTGTATATCATATCAGCTATATCACATTGTCAATATCAAATTTTCAGATTGGAAGGTTGCCTGGGGAACTTTAACTAAGATGGCAGAACTTTGACTTGGGTTGTGATAAACACATTACACAGTGATTATAAAAGTATTATAAAATGTAAACATAAAAATACAGTGCATTTGATTTTTCTGAAGATTATGTTTTATATTTTGTTTATAATAATACTTTCATATATTTTATATATTTCAGTATGAAGTAGTCAGCTGGTTGAAGAAACACAGTGGGAAAGACAACATGAGAAAACGGCGCTAAAATACACAATGATACACCCGGAATGCATACTTGGTTACAACTCAGTTCGTCATTAAAACTGGTATTTGGAATGTTTTTGACATTTAAAGCTGCATTTCATCCAGAAAATAACACATGTACTAATGCATACACACTTGCAACTAGGGCTGCCCCCGACCTCCCTGACTAAGAGGTTTCTTAGTCGACCAAAAGTCGTACTAGTCGCCCGCATGTTTGCAATATTATTCTAAATGATATATTTTGGGCGGGGCAACACAATGGTTTGAGTTGAAGGTGTGAGACAGAATAGTATCAGTAACATTGTTAACACTGTGCTACATTACAGAGAAATACAAAACCGTACTAATGAACCTTCATTAATATAGGTCTATATTTTATCTACAAGTGCACGTCACACACTGAGCAAGCCGCCTGTTAATGACGCTGTCGGCAAAGCAGTAATGATTGTGCTAAGTGGCTAATGGGCATGTAGCTACTAACATGTTTCAGATGATACGTCATGTTTGTAGTCGACCAATGAAGATGAGTTTACATATCACCTTGGGTTCATCCTTCACCTTCTCAAAATGATCCCACACTTTGGATTTCCTGCCGACATGTTATTAACTAGCCTGTGGAATAAGCGCAGGTACCAGCCCTGGAAAATAACATGACTCCTGTCTGACTGCTGAAAGTGGCCACTTCCTGTGTCTGTCCATTCAAATTAAATTCCCACATGGTCCAGTCATAAAGGTTTTGATTTATTTTGACAAGGCGCAGCTCCTAATAGAGTTTCATGTTTTTCTTTGTATAAGCGACCAATAAAATCCTGTCGACTTATAACCTTTCTGGTCGACTAACGTTTGGTCGACTATTCGGGGGCAGCCCTACGTGCAACAGAAATCATTGCTAAGATATCAGACATGTCTGACTTTAAAGGGGACAGTTTCTCATTCTTTTCTAAGAGACACAAACATAAAATTCATTCAATAAAATTCAAACAAAAAAAGGCAAAGGATTCTGCAGATTGCCACAAGCTAAACAAAACAGACTGATCATGCCTCAGGTTTGGATTGAAATTCTTTGGAATGTTAAAACAGGCTGTTCTGTCAAACTCTTTGCAATGTCTTAATGCTTTAAACAGCAGTTATATATATGTGAGTGTGTGTGTGTGTGTGTGTGTGTGTGTGTGTGTGTGTGTAAAGAGAGAGAGAAGCGAGAGAGAGATGAGTCCATGTCAGGCCCCAGGTGTGTGACCGTCACCCCTTTCACCCTTGATTAGTGGCGGTAGTGGACGGGTGATCCATCATGTCTGTCAAAGAAAAGGATGCAATTGGCTGGGTGTGTTTGTCACTGACAGTGTGTAAGAGAGAGACTGTCCTTGCGTGTGTGTGTGTTGTGTGTGTCTGGAGTTGTGCGGTTGCTGATGCTTAGAGGCAATCATGTCAGTGGGAGTGTCATCTCTGACTCTGACTCTGAGCTGGAAGCAGAGAGGCAGAAGCAGACCCAGCTCAGCAGCGGAGGCCATAACTATGGGGCTGGAATAGAAACTTTAAAAAACCCATTCCCCTGACGTAACAAACTTTTTTTGATGACGTTTAAATCTTTCTACCAGTGGGAGATCAGTAGACTCACATATCACCAGTGGTTTCAATAAATAAGTGACGGATTTGATCCTCTTTCCTTCTGTTCACATCCTTTGTCACTCATGTCCCTCTTTATGCCAAACCAGCTGTCCATCAGAGTTGGTCATTTCGGATGAATCTGTTGCCTTCTGAGTGCTTGCCATAGTAGACGTAGCGACACTTGGCGAATACCCCTGAAAACAAAGTGAGAGAGAGTCAGGTTAGGTGTCAGTCATCCTGTAGCATTTAGCATTACAGTCTAAAGCAGTGGTTCCAAACGGGGTCCAGATTTCTCCTTAGACATTAGTTCAAGGTCCACACAGTTTAATACATTCAGCATCATACTTGCTGTCCACTAGTCACTCACTCTACAGCAGGAAACGGCACTTCAAAATAAAAGCTCTGGGCTGAAATGTACTGTTTCCTAAAAATAAGGTGTGTTTTTTACAAACTTGACACGTTTGTGAGTCACTTGCAGTCCATTCAGAATGGGCCCACGACCCACCAGTTGGGAACCACTGGTCTAAAGTATATCCAGACTGTTTGATAATATCCACACCTAGCTATATGTCCAGGTCAATTTGCAGTCACCATTTGAATATCAGTCACACTTGGGACAGACAAACTACCAACTTGGCATTCACCAGTCAGTAATTTCTTGATCATGGAAATCTGAGCGATATCCATCAGTAAAACTGCAGTGTTTCAGTTATAGATGAGCAGCAGTGTTCCCAACCTGTTGGGTGAGATCCTAAAAAGGGATCCGCTAACATATTAAACAACAGAATGATACCAACGTAGGTTTTAAGACCTTCAAAACAGAGCTTAACATTTTATGAGGTAGTAACAGCATTTGTTAGACCTTAAGGACAGACATGTTGAATGCAAACAGAGCTGTGTTTACTGTACAACAACTCCACAGGATATCTTTAAGTGGCAGGACTGAACAGGGTCTGGGTCTGCTTCATGTAGGGGATGAGAGGTGCTGCTGGGAAGGATGAGCACCTTGTTTTCAGAGAAAGACCAGTGTGGCCTCCGGGCAGAGTCCTAACAGTAACAAGGTAACAGCCACCCACAACACTCACACAGACACACAGACACACAGACACACAGACACACACACACACTGATCTATCACAGCAAGCCATTACTTATTATTATTAATTATCAGCAGTAGGCTTATCACTATGTCAGAAATTTAGTAGGCGATATAAATACCAGTGATACCACAGTTCTTGATAACCAACTTGATTGCACAGTAAAAAAACAAAACAATAAATTCTATATTTTTAATCATACACACTTTCTTGACACTTTTAAGACATATCTGAAAACAAAATATGTTTTCAATGGCCTTTGGTTGTTTGTAGTGGTTTTAATATTTTAGTATTTTATAATTTTTAGTACAAGTATAATTGTTCATACCTGTTTTATATTTATGTACATTTTATATTGCTATATATTTGTGTGCCATTCTTTTATTTTGTACAGCACTTTGGTCAACTGTGGCTGTTTTTAACTGTGCTATATAAATAAACAGGATTTGATTTTATTTCTTACAAAGAAAAATTACATTTCATTATTAATCCCTGATGATCTGCTTTGAACGCAAAGTATGTGGGTTTGAGAGATTTTGTAGCTGAGGAAACATATTAATATAAAGCTTTCAGGATATTAACATATTTCACCTCCATTTTTGTTGTTCAGCACTTGGACGTGTATAAAGTGGCATCTCCTCGACTGTAAATGGGTGGTTGGGTTGGTTGGGTAACAAGTGACAGTGATAAGTGCAGTGTTTTACTCAGGTTTAACATAACGACCAAAAAACCCTGAAACACCAAACGTGCAGTGCTCAGTGCAGAATAGACGTTCAGCACCTTGTCATACTGCTGCCATTTGTATCGTAGTGTAAATACGCTATGCTCCCATTGCAAAGAATTAACTAAATAGGCTGGCCTCAGGAAAAAAATGCTTTCCCTTTTATGAGTCTAGGTGGTGCACTTGTTGCCGTCTTCCACGTGTTGTTCTTCCAACCTGCCAGGTGTTCTTCTTCTTTTGGCATTTAACGGCAGACTAGCATACCTGTAGGTGTGTATGCTGCAACGTAAGCTTCAGAAGAACTGATCCCCAGTACCTACTGTATCTACTGTGCTGGAGAAAAATGAGTACCATCACGTTTTCAGAATTTTGCCAGAGACCTGCTACCCGAGTATTAGTTCTCGTGACATCCCTAATCAGCAGACGTGGTGTTTGTGTAAGCTAATAAAGCACATTACATAATACACACCAATTTTGGAGTTGAAAACTTGCTACTGTACAACACTTGCTGCTGCTACTAAAAAGTTGCATGAATGATATATATTGATTCTACAGAATAAATAGTGTAAGTTAAGCAAGGGTAAAATCTTGCAATTACATTTACAGATATAGTTTAACCACACTCCTGAATAATAAGCTGCATACCCTCTATACAGCTCAGAGGGTGAATCCAAAATGGCCGGCAGTGCTTTCTTGTTGTAATGAGAGGTGTTGCCACCCAGGGAGAGGGCTGCCCAGAGCTCTGTGGCTGGTCTGCTCAAACTCTGATGTCACAGCGCTCCCAATGCCACTTGATGAATGCAGCTGGGCTGCGGCTAGGTGTCACCTCTCACCAAATGAGGCAAGGACAAGTGGCATTAGTGCTGTCAATGATCCTCTGACAGCAGAACAGATACAGCTTTCGCCAGGCTTTTTAAACAGACATCAAGTGTATTATATGAGGGGGGGGGGGGGGGGGGGGCCAGAGACAGGGCAGAAAAGGAGAGACTTATGGGAGAGGCGGTGTCGCAGAGGGATGAGGGGTGCTCCCAGCGCTAAGTCCAATCACATAATCCAAAGAGACATTGTCAAGGGCGGGGAGAGAATGGCAACTAAGTGACAGAAAGCAGAGACGGGGACAGAGATACTGGTGCCATATTAGTGCCAAGCATATTCTGATGCCACCCTCAATTCTAACCAAACCTGACACATCGCTCTCGTTCCCCCACTCTCTCTGACTCTTCAAAGTAGGCTCTACCAAGTCACACAGACACACGCGCGCGCACATATACTGTACACAGACTTACACACAAACACACACACACCAGTCCCTCGCAGGGGTAGTGGGTGTTCTGTCAGGCGGAGGAACAGTACAGCAGCAGCAACAGCAGCAGCAGCCCACAGGCCCGAGGACAAGCTCAGTCAATCTAAATCTGGACTTTGTAGTGGAGCAGTGCTCATTTCCCCTCATAGCCCAGCTACTTGAGGTGATCCAAACACTGAAGTGTGAGGAGCTGTCACCTCCGATAAAATCCGGGACCAGCTCCATGCCTGCCTGCTCCTCCGGTGTGTGAGGGGTATATATGTGTGTGTGTGTGTGTGTGTGTGTATGCATTTGTGTGTGTTTCTCTGACAGTGAGGTGGTTGGGGAGGGGAGGGGGTGAATTCCAGCTGCCGTGATTTGCCTGGGGATATAGGTGCCACGGCTGGAGACTGGGCTTGACACCACAGGACTCGGGGTGTCTCACAGCGCTCTGATCACATGGGCGCCGGGGCCTTTCACATATTCACAGCTTACCCGGCGAGAAACTCACTCTCTCCAGGAGTGTGGGGCCCTTAAAGAGATTACCCCACTGAGGTACCAGAACCAAGACTCCTATAAGACATTACCTAGAGGGGATATATTTGTAGGTTGCAACCAAAGCCTTTCAGAGATAACCTTCACAGATGAAGGAACTAAAGCTAAAGGCCCCTCAAGCCTTCACACTCTGCTGAGCTCGTCACTAGCCCATGGGGACCGAGAAGGATTGGAGGGAACACGTTCTGAGATTCTCCAGCACCAATCAGAAAGCTCTGGCGATGTGTGACCTGTAACTCTCCAACTGTGCTTTAAACAAAAAGCTATATCTGTGATCAAAGGGGAAGAGGGAGAGTAAGTTAAGGAGAAGGGCAGAACAAAGAACAGGGATGAGGTCTGTTTCCCAGTGGGTGAAAAAGTGCCAGAGTGTGTCTCTTAATTTTCTGCGCAACCTGGCTCAAGCACTGGGTGCATTTCAGCACTACATTAAGCAGTGTGTTTTGTGCATAAACACATTCCAGTTCGCCGCGTTCCCTTCACAGCAAGAGCTCGCTCTTATTACGGGAGAAACCAGGAGAAAGATGGGGCAGTTGGAGACACAGAAGGGAATAACTAAGCCAAACTCACTCTTACATAACGCCTTCCGAGGCCACGCTTACGCCTGTGGGGTTCCGCCTGATGAACAGATACTTAATAACAAGTGGTACAGTGCCAAACCCAGTAGTCTACAATATCCTCTGTGTATCCTAAGCCATGGATGAGCACACTTGAATCAACACCCACACTCTCGACCATATACACATTATGGCAAACCCATGCACACTTTCATCTCATGCACACAAACACAGCACACAGTGCGAACAGTGGGAGCAGCCATTAAAGTGACAGATTAACAAAGTGATGAGGAGGCTACTGTTTCCATCATGCCCCGGTGGAGGAACAATCAGGCCTTTGTTCTGCATATGTCACGCGGCACCTTGTTGTTTTTAAGGGGAGTAGCTAACCCTCTTGTCTTTATTAAAAGGCCGTACAGTGTGTATCTTGTATCTTCCTCTTGGTGAGTGTTGCAGTGTAGCTTCATCGTCAGACAGTCTGGTCTTTTCAGAGCTGATTACCCAAAGCATGTGTCCTCTCTACGGGGGCTTGATGGCCCATTCTGCCACAGTGTGAGTAAGCCAGCTGTACAAAGCCTCCTATGTACAGAACTCAAATACCAAATCAACACATATGGTAACAAAAGTTCTTTTTTCCTTGTGAATATATATTTTTTCTATACAATGTGCAAGGCCGCTAAAACAATCCCTGCAGACAACTGAGGACTCAAGTGCGTCTGACAAGGGTGCGATCTCTGATACTTTATTACCTTGCTGTATAAAATCATCATTATATGTAAACAGAGTTTTATAAGTTGTTGATCAATACGATGTCAGTCAGTGGTTCCTTAGATGTCTAGTGGCAGTGGTCTAGCTCATGCTCCTGGTTCTGGTGGATAAACCCCTCACCAAAATTGAACTGTGCTGTCTCCTGAGTATCTAAGCAGATTTAAATCTCATAAAAATCTGTTTCCACTGTGTACTCTGTGCCTCAAACTTAAATCAC